AGAGAGAGTGAGGGGAGAGAGAGAGAATTTTAATATTTTATTTCTTAGTTTCTGGCAGACACAACATCTTTGTTTGTATGTGGTGCTGAGGGCCGCTACTGCTTGAGCCACATCCCCAGCCCTCCGTTTCTCTTATCACAAAAAAGGGCCAAGAAAATGTAGGCTACGTCTCTGAGTATATGGACCAGGTTTATAGTTGCAACTCTTTACAACAAAATTTTTAACTAGTTCTCCCTATTTGACGGCTACCTTAGTTTGCAGGTCATAAAGGCTGGGAGGTAAATAACAGAAATGTGTATATTCACAAAACTGGAGGCTGAAAACCCACTAAGGTGTGGGCAGGGCTACTTCTTCCCAGATCTCTGTCTGTGGCTTGCAGGTGGCTGCCTTCTCTGTCTTCACAAGGTCTTTGTGTATTGTCTCCTACCCTAATCTCTTCTTACATGACCCCAGTCATAAGGACCAGGGCCTACCATAACAATGTTATTTTAGCTTGACCTCTTTCAAGATGACTTTCCAAATACAATCACATTCTGAGGAACTAGAGGTTAGGGCTTCATCATATGAGCTGGATGGGAATATAATTCAGTCTATAACACGGACCATTTATCAACATTTTAGATTTAAAAGAAAAGAAGATTCCTTTTTGTCTGCACTTCGAATATGAAGTGCAGGAATTCACCACTTTTTTCATTATGGAGTAAAAAATTAACCATTAGGAAATGAAATGAGAACTTACTGTGGTCTCAGGATAGTGATTAGGAGACTGTCAGATAAAAACACAAGACAGGGGCCTTGTCCTCAAGGAATAAATGTTTAAACTGATAAAGCCATAAAATGGAAGTAAATTTGAATGTCTCCATTTTCTAGATAATTGCTCACTTCTGCTCTTCAGTTTGTGAGTTTAGAGATTTTTTTGGTTTCTCTGAATTATTAAGAGGAGACATTGAGAACTTGCTGAAGAAGCCTTCTCAAGGGAGCTTATTATATTGACAACCCTGGGTTTTGTTTCTTTTTCTTTTCAGTCCCCAAGGTGCACACTGTTAAAATAAAATAGTGTCCCTAAAAGTAGGTTTTAAAAAGCTGTATTATTTTAGTAATGACTCATCTTCTGTTGTGCTAATATGTTGATGCTGAAATAAGTCCAATGTGGACAGACCTTTGATTTACTACAAGAGTGATTTTGGAAATTTATTGGGTCCTAATTGGCAAGTTCTCTATTTCACTATATTTTTTTCCCTCAAGAAATGGTCATTGCTGATCCAGTAATTAAGAACATAAATCTGAGTTTCCTTTCAAAACAGTTTTACTGAGTTTAGATTTGGCAAGAACCACATTGTGTAATAATTCACTGTTTCATATTTCATCCTGTATCTAGTAAATCATGAAAGAACATTGTTCATTACAGATAAATAGGAATGTTTATCCCTAAAATGTTATATTCAGGGACATCTCCAAATTAAAATGTCATTTTTCAGATTCAGATAGTTCTAAAATGCTCTGCCTGGCGCTGAGCATTCAGAGGTGGGTAACCCAATTCTTGCTTTAAATGAGCTTCAAGACAGTGGAGAAGAGATGTGTCAAAGAGTGAATCTCTTTAACATGAAACAGTGTATGCTACGTGTGGCAATGGGGGACAGAGTGCAACAGGAGCTCACAAGAAACAGGGCAAGGAATGAGTAGACGCCAAGTAGAGTTCTTAAGAGGACACCTTTACACCAGGATTTGATAGAGTAGGCTTGCGACTGGAAGTCAGGAAGAGAGAACATTCTGAGTGGAAGAAAAAGCATGAGTACAGCACATGGTGGGAAAAGGGGCAGGGAATGTCCAGGGAAGGAGGATAGAATACGGTGGAAGACAAAACGCTGTGATGGGAGATCATTGGAAAGGGGAATTGAGCCAGATCTTAGGCTATCTTTTCTTGAATGGCCTCATATGTCTTCTGAAGATTTGGGGGATCACTCTGCAACTAATAGGGAGCAACCCAAGATTTACACACTAGAGCTAGATCTGATCCTATTTAAGACAGCACCGATGGCATTTGCACCCATGGCATTTTGAAGGATCAACATTTGAAGGATGCGGAGGAACTTTAGGGGTAAGCAAATTAGAAGATGCAGTAGTCCAGGGGAAGAAAACCAGAAAGCTGAAGATTAGACATGGAACAATGACAATGGAAATCAAAGCCAGGATCGGAAAGGTCTGGTCCTCTTTGTGTCCATGCAGTCTATGTGACAGACTGTGCACGTGTCTAGCCCTGAGATTCTATGAGGTAGGATTCTATGACCACATAAGAATCCTGTATTCTAGATGGAAGCATTGCACCCTAATTGTAAGAACATGTAAGAACGCTTCAGTGAGAATTCTTTAAGTGAGATCATCTGTCCCACCTCAGTTACTATATCAGTTGAAAGGGGATAATTAGATCTACTGAATACAAAACTAATTTTTTTTCAGGGGTGGGGGTATGGAGACATAGTAATGATTGGGCAATTTTCCTAAATAGTTCCTATTGATTCAAGTTCTACCCTTGGGTTTTATAGATCATGAGTTTTAGTTTTGGCTCACTGAACTCTTAAATAATAATTTAAAAAAAAATTCAAAATGAAACCAGGAGGAAGTTAGGGAAGGAAACAAGCTAATTAGATGACATTATACAGAAGCTCTTAAATTTTTGTTGGATTATAATACAAGATACCAAAGTGCTTAAAATTCTTAATGTTTCCTAAATTCCAAAGTGATTTTGTAGAGGTATAATTGAAGAATTATATTGAGAAGGAAACAAGTAGGCAGACATATGGAGACCATTGTTGACTGCATGGTGGAGGGTATGGCAGAAAAACATAAAATGGTATACAACTGGAGAACATGCATTTTGCAGCATTTATAGGAAGGAAATCCCATTTTATCTCTAACTGGTAAGTATATCATCACTTAGATTATTTATTCTATCAAACACATGTTGCCATCTATATTTGCACAATTGAACCTCATAACAATCCTGTGAAGAACTTTTATTATTTCTATTTTATAGATGGTCAACACAGCAAGTTAAACACAACTCACTACATTCACACAGCTCTTACATGATAGAGTTAAGGAAACAGTGCAGGCAGTTTAAATCTAGAGACCATGTCCTTAAGCAGGATACTAGGCTGCCTTTCTAAGTTTGAAAGTTGGGAAGAATCAATGTTTGCTATATTGCTTTTGAATATGAGATCTATTCCTTTAATTCTTATTTTCCTTCAACCAATTTTCTCCTCCTCCTCCTCTTCCTCCTCCTCCTCCTCCTCTTCATCCACCTGTTTCTTCTTTAAGTTATGGTTTTATCCAGAAGAACCTTGATAGGACTGTCAAAGATTTGTACATACTCATGAAGTAAACTAAAAGCAAAAGCTTGAATGTAGGCTGAAAGCAGCAATAGCATTTATACTTGTGCATTTCTTCTGTGACTGAAGTTAACTCATTTATTTAAGTTGTTAGGTACGCTTAAATATGAAGATAAATTAGGTTCCTACCTTCAAGAAATACATAGTGAAGAGAAGACAAGTATATGATATATTTAGTTAGATTAGGTAAGTGTAAAAAGTAAAGGAACAAATAAAGAGAGGTACAACATTTGAGGAACCACAGGTTGTTCATTTCATTGTGATAGAGTTATCAAGTATATTTCAACAACAAGCAGGTTAGGTTAAAGACTTAGCCAGAGGCCAGACTATAAACCTCATATGATAAATTAAGACCTTGATATTTGTTTGTTTGTTTGTTTTTTGGCGGGGGTGGGGGTTGGGGGGTGGTTGCTTTGTAATATAGGAAGTTGAACCCAGGAGTACTCTATCATGGAAATATATTCCCAGCCCTTTATATTTTTTTGTTTTGAGAAAGGGTCTCCCTAAACAACCCAGACTGTCCTTGAATTTATGATCCTCCTGTCTCAGCCTCCCAAGTAGCTGAGAATACAGGTGTGTGCTATTGCACGTGGCCTAAAATTTGTTTTGAAAGCAGTTGGAGGACTTGGAGCTCTAAGCAGAAAGGCATATGATTATATATATATTTTTTAAAAAAGTAATACAGATGTGAAGAATAGAATGGAGAATAGAATGGATCCAATGTAAAGACAATTTTTTAAAAATATATGAATGTTATCTTTTTATTTTAATTTGTTATATGTAACAACAGAATGCATTAGAATTCATTAAAAATATGGAACGTTTCACGAATTTGCATGTCATCCTTGCGCAGGGGACATGCTAATCTTCTCTATATCGTTCCAATTTTAGTATATGTGCTGCTGAAGCGAGCACATAAAGACAAATTTTTAAGCTATGCAATAATCCAGGAAAGAAGTTACAAATGGAGGCAGTAGCAATGTAAATGGGTAAGAACAGAAGAGCTAAAAAGGTATTTAAGGTGTAGCATATACACATTTAGGTGGGGTGGGAGTAAAAGAGTTTTCCAGTAAAGTGAGGACCAAATTCTGTTTTTTTTTTGAGAAGAGCTGCATTTCAACAGCATTAAAAACGATCACCAGTCTTCACTTCAATCTATTCTAACTGAGAAGGTCTGGGGTGGCAACTGGGAATCGCTATTCCTTGGAGGTTTCTTGGTTTATTCTGCAGTGTAACCAAGGTTGAGAATCATTATGACACCTAAGAGTATGAGCTAGAAATCTAAGAGATGCTAACGTGATAATGAAGATTGGAAGAGATTTTTGGTTGGGGGATAAAAACAACAGGGGAAGTTTACTCTGAAATCTGCAGTTGCAGTTCCTATGGGAGATATAAGTTAGCTGGCGGTGTTGGTTTGGAATTCAGAAGGGAGATTTTGTTTGAATACAGGTGGCAGTAGATGAAGCCATAGGTCTTGAGAGGTTATTTTCCAAGAATTTATGGAAGGATGAGAAAGATAGTCAAGCCCTTATGAGCACCAATATTTAAGGGGTGAACTGAGGAAGAAGCAACAAGTTGAAGACACAAGTAAACTTCAGAGAAGGCAGGAAGATGTGACTGTTTACAGAGAAACCAATATTAGCCAAAGTTACACCAATTCAAAGAAAGAGCAGAAAAGTATTCATTAACTTGCCAACATGGACTTTGGTCTCTCATTTTTTTTTAAAGAGAGAGAGAGAATTTAAAATGTCCTGTTTGTTCACAATTATAGCATGTTTTTGGCCTGGCATCTAA